TCTTGATATTGGTAATGTGTGTTTTCTCTTTTTCTTAATCTAGGTGTTATCAATTCTGTTAATCTTTTGGAGAAGCAACTTTTTGCTTTACTGATTTTTATATTGTTTGTTTTCTATTTTATTGATTTCTGCTGTCATCATTAGTATTTTTTTTCTAATGACTTCAGGTCTAATTTGCCACTCTTTTTCTAAATTATTAAGGTGTGAAACCTTAACTAATTTAAGCATTTAAAGCTATAAATTTCTCTCTAATTACTGTTTTAGCTGCTTTACACAAATTTTTAGTATCCTTTTTTCATTTTTCATATTTTCATGTTCCATTTAAAATTTAATTTTCCTTGTATTTTCTTTTTTGAGCCCAAAGCTTATTTAGAAGTGTGCTATTTAATTTCCACATATTTGGAGAGTTTCTAAATATGTATTTTTTATTGATTTCTAATTTAATTCTGTGTGATCAGAGATTTATGGTTCCAGTTCTTTTAAATTTATTGTGAGATACCTGTGGCAAGCACATGGTCTGTCTGTGTGGACGGGCCATGTACACTGAAAGGTGTACGCTGTCTTCTTGGGGGTACTGTTCTACAAATGTCCATTAGGTCAAGGGGTGCTTGACCTAATTTTTCCACTGCTGTTTCCTCACTAATGTTTTTGCGTAGTTCCATTAATTGCTGAGGGACAGGTATTGGAATTTTCCGTCTATAATTGTGGGTTTTTCTGTTTTGTCCTCTAGTTCTGTTCATGTCGTACTCATATATTTTGAAGCTCTGATATTAGGTGCATTCATGTTTATGTCTTTTTTGGTTAATAGACCCTTTCATTGAAAAGCTGTTTTTGCTGGGTATGGAATTCCGGGTTCACAGTTCATTTTCTCTGCCAGGGCACTGAAGCTGTCATTCCCTTGTCTTCCGATTTGCATTGTCTCTGATGAGGGGTCAGCTGTTATTTATCACATCTCCTTTTTCTATTCATCCTAGGTTCTCAGCAGGCGGACTGTGATGTGAGTAGGTGTGATTTCCTTTGTATTTATCCTGCTTGCTTTTCACTGACATTGCTTGATCAGTGTGTTACTGTTTTTTAATCAAATTTGGAAAAATTTTGGCCATTACTTTTTCAAACAATTTTTCAACTCCTTGCATCTCTGCTTTCCCCCCGGATTTGATTACACATAAGTTAGATCCCTTGTACTTTCCCACAGATCACTCAGGCTCTATTTACTTTTTGTGAATCTTTTTGTCTCTCTTTCTTTCAGTTTGGAAATTTTCTATTAACCTGTCAAGTTTACTGATTTTTTTTTTTCTGTTTTATCCGATCTGTTGTTAATACCATCCAGTGAATGTTTTATTGGAGATTGTGTGTTTCACTTCTTCCACTTGATGCTTTTACGGTTTCCATCTCTCCTGAAATTACTCATGTCCTCATTATACTTTGTTCCATGCACTCTTTTCCATCCTTCCAATTCCTTAAAGTCCTGGTCTGCAAAGTCTAACATCTGGGTCATCTTTGGGTTTGCTTCTCTTGACCATGGGTTATATTTGCCTGTTTCTTCACATGTCTGGTAATTTTTTATTGTATAGTAGACATTGTGGTTTGTACTCTAGATTTCGTTACCTTCCTCTGAGGAGGGTTCTGTTGCAGCAGCCCATTAGGTTACTGTCAGGGCTCCTGAAGCTTATGGAGGTTAGCCTCAGGCTTTGTTAAAGTGGTTTATTTCAGTTTATTCTTTGTGCTTTTGCTCTGCCCCCCATTAAATTGGAGATGTAGCTCCCTCTGCTTCATTCAAGTAAGCAGCCTGTTTATTACAGGCAGACCCTTTCATAACAGGAACAACAATTGTGAAAATGGTTTTACCACTTTTAACAAAAAAACTGTTTGGGGGAAAAAGTGACCTTCCTACGCCATATGTAACTACATTTAAATTCCGACATTGGTTACTTTTCAGCTATAAAGGAGCCTACTTTGCTTTAAAGGTCGTTCATTATTTACATCTAGGAATTTTTCTAAGCTTTTCTTCAAACCAGTGTTTATTTTCAGCGTGTTCCACTGCGGGGGCGGGTACCAGTCGGCCCCACCATCTTCTCGACCCTTCGTGAAGAAGCACTTTCTGTCACAGCATGATGGCCCTTCCCCGTTTCCTCTCAGTCTCCTCCTCCTTTCCTGATGCCTTTTTAAACCAGTATTGTGGTTATTTCTCTCTGACTCCTCCATGACTGTGAACTTATTGGTGTGTAAACTTCTTCTTCATCTGTGTCATTCGGCCTTGGATCAGTGCCTGCAGCATGAGGAACGTAGGAGATTTCCCAAATTGAATTGCCGTACACAGATGTTGTGTGACGTGGTGAGCACGTCTGTTTCACTGGCGCGGGTTAAGGGATTTTCAGACAGCTCTTGTGTGTCAGTGCTCTGGTCTCTAAGTGACTGGTTTTACAGACTTTGTCCAGCTCTGTCACTCTCCAGAGGTCCCACACTATGCCAGGTAAAGATAAAACATCATTCTTTTTGAAACTAGAAAGTAATTCCCACTTGCTTTCTGAAAACTTAGAAACCTTAAGGATGTCATTTTCCAGCCACTTCAGTTTGTGTTTTTGGACCTAAAATTCAGATCAGAAGCCCACGGAGCAGAGCAAGCTGTGGATGAGATGTGATGGCCTTGAGCCCCTTCTCAGCATGTCTTCCCTCTACCTCTGTTACTCTCCACATCCTGTGGGCGCCTGACAGTGGCCAGGGAGAAGCCCACAGCGAGGGACCAAGCTTTTCTATTCCTTGACTCTTGAATAGAGAGAAGAAATTGCTCACTCTTGCGGGGTCACCCCGAGGCACTGACTGAATCAAATCCCATACCCTCGGCATAGCTGACGTTAATCAGAGCACAGGCATCATGCATCGTAATGATTTTCCTGGCATGGTGGGCAGGCGCTCCGAGCCCAGCTTGCAGTGACATGGAGCACACACACCGGGGCAGGGGTGACTTGCACTTGTGTCCGTGTGTTTGGCAAGTGTGGCGTTGGTTTTAATTTAATCAGCAGTTAACTCCAGCTCACAAAGAGTGAAGAGGGGTGGGCTGGGTGTGTATTGTTAGCACGTGTGCTTGCCTATTCAAACTACATTTCAAACATCCTTGACCCAAAGAAATAACGGCCAGTGAGCTTGCAAGAAAGGGCGTCCAGCTCTTGTTGACACTGGAGTCTCCTTATTTAGATTACTTATGGCTCCAGGTTCTTTTCTTTGAAAGAAAGGTTTTCCTCAGAGGCTGAGAAGACAGCAGAGGAGGGAGGAGCCAGAGGCGGCTGCAGAGGGCGTGTCCCACCAGACCCCTTGACAAGAGACCAGATTTTGCATTTTCGAGAGAGCTAACATGGGGATTTTTCAGTCCGTTTGGTTAAATTGCACACAACACACATTGCGTTTGGGGATGGTCTGAATCAGTGTACAGTGGAATGACAAGTGGCGTTAGGCTAATGTGCAGGTTGCAGATTTGCTAGAAAGTAGGTGACTTAATTGCAGGCCTGAGGCACGTGTCAGAAGCTTGTCCTGGGAGCCCAGGCCCCCTCTCCTTTGCCCTCATGTATCTGCTGTGGCCCACCTTTACTGGCTCCTTGGAGCATCCTGACGGCCACTTTGAAAAGCATTTAGGTACTGAGAATGACTGATTCCATCGGCTGAAGGATCAACAGGTTCTACCAGAAAGAGTTTGCTACACACTCCAGCGGGGCCCTGTGCAGGCTGTTCCCTGCAGGCTGGGGAGGTCGAACTGTGGGGCCAAGAGGGAGGGCTGCTGCTTCTGGGAGTCTCCACCTTCTGTCCACCGTCTGTACGCACGTAGTCTGTGCGTCTACGTGGCAATGACGGGGTCACACCCCTGTTGTAGGATAAGCACATCTCGTTGTGCAGATTCTTTGAGGGCCAGACATTGTGGAATCCCCTCCCCTGCTTTTCTCTGTCCCAGATTACTCTCCTGCAATCTGACGGTAGGACACAGCTTCTGAATTATCATCGTTTTCATAAAGTCCTTGCTTGCAAACAACCGAAGCTTATGGGCACGTGCCGTAGTGTTTCTGATGTAGTTTCAGGGGAAGATGAGCCGTGTTGATGTTTAGCCGTCTGTGTGTATTTGTACACACATGCGCACGAACACATCCCCACCCACATGTACACTTCACATTTATAAGCCATCTTTCACACTCAATTAGTCCTCCCCGGTTCATGTCCCCTCCTTAAAGATGCTAGATTTTTTTAAGTTAACTAACTTTATATTTTAGAGCAATTTTAGGTTTACGGAAAAATTGAACAGGAAGTACAGAGTTCTCATGTTCCCCGCCATCTACACATACAGTTTCCCCTATTAGTAACATCTTGCGCTGGTGTGGTGCTTGTTACAACTGATGAGCTCATGTGGATACATTGTTATTAAGTAGAGTCCACAGTTTACATTAGGATTCACTCTTGGTGATGTTCATTCTCTGCGTTTGGACAAATGTATGACGAGTGTCCACCATTACAGCATCATACCGAGTAGTTCACTGCCCTAAAAGTCCTCTGGAGCCCATCTTCCCCTGATTCCCAGCCCCCGACTCAGCAGCCACTGATCTTTTTACTGTCTCCATAGTGTTGCCTTTTCCAGACTTTCATAGAGTTGGAATATACAGGATTGGCCTTTTCAGACTGGTTTCTTTCACTTACTGATGTGCATTTAAGGTTCCTCCATGTCTTTTCATGGCTCATTTGTTTTTGGTGCTGAATAATATTCCATTGTCCGGATGAACCACAGTTTATCCATTCACCTACCCAAGGACACCTTGGTTGCTTCCAAGTTTTGGCAATTATGACAAAGCTGCTGTGAACATCCGTGTGCAGGTTTTTGTGTGGACGTACGTTTTCAGTTCATTTGGGTAAAGACCAAGGAACAGGATGGCTAGACCATAAGATGCTGGATTTAAAAAGAAAAAAAACCATTGGGGATACTTACACCATCCGGCGTGCTTACAGACTGTGTGTTTTCCCAGAGACGACTACCATGAGGAGGGGTTCTGCCAGCCTTACCGGGGGATCGCCTGTGCACGCTTCATTGGAAACAGGACCATCTACGTGGACTCCCTCCAGATGCAGGGGGAGATTGAAAACCGAATCACAGGTAGGAGCCGCAGACCTGCTTTGTGAGGCAGTGCGCATGGGTGCAGCTGCCTGTGCCGCACAGAGGGTCCCATTTGTGTGTTTTGTCTGGTTACTCCCAGACCGGGAGCCCCTGTTCCACGTCTCTTGGATAGAAAGTCAGAGACCTTTCTTAGGAGTAGCTGCAGTTGCCACCATGGTTTGTCCTAAAATGTTGCTGTTTGTATGTTCAAATTAGCAAGTGCAGATGGCTTAGAATATACTCCTAACATGCTGAATGAGGCCCGCGTGTGTCCGAAGCCCTGAGCTGCCTTTTTTCACTGCATCACAGGGGTGTCCTGGCCCGGGGCTGCCACCCTGGTGCAGGCAGCCCGGCGCCCAGGACCTTCACTCTGCCTGACTTCTCTGTTCTGCCTTTCCTGACTCTTGTGCCCTCTTGGAGTGTGCTGGGTTGAAAGACACACAGGCCTGGTGTCAGCTGTCCCGGAGGGAGCTTTGCAGGCTGTCGGCCATGCGTGGGGACGCTGCAGTGAACTCAGCTCTGCGTCAGCCTCGGTTCCCAGGTGTTCAGGCGCCTGCCTCACGGCATGAGAAGTGAAGCAGGTCATTTAGCAATGATGCTGCTCGTTCTCTGTCTCTCTAGGAGTCACCATCTCTGGCTGGTTGGTAGCTCTCAACACACCAACTTTCCCACCTTGTCTTTGGGGAAATTCCTTGAAAAGTGAGAAAATGCATTAGACCTGCTGTCTCTGCTGTCCCCACAAACACACACCTTCTTCTCTCCACACTGCAAGGAACAAGGAAAATCATGGGAAGACGACAGGTGTCCTAGTTTAGCTGGGTTCTCTACACAGTAGTTCTTGACCCCGGCCGCCCAGCAGGCTCTCCGGCTGACCTCTGCTGCCAGCTCGCCGGGAGGTGCTGCTGGGGCTGGTACAGCCCGGCCCCATAAGGGGCAAGAAGGACGATCTGCCTGGGACGCTGGCCTCGTCTTTCACCCTCAGTCTGGAGGGTCTGAGGTCATGGTCACAGAGGGGGCTGTCTGGACCCTGCTTGCGGAGCCCCCGAGGGCGGGGCCCGGTGTGCAGTGAGAAACGGAAGGGCAGTAATGGGACCTGGAGGATCCCGGAAGGCAGTGTCCTGGACCACTGGGAGAATGTTTTGAAACACTGGTATCTCTCATTGGGAAAGCTTTCTATGCCACTTAAAGTAGAACTTCTCAAACCTGTATGACCACAACACACAGTAAAAAGACTGCTTTACGTCTGACTTAGTATATGCACACATAGATTTCATAGAACCAAAATGGGTCACAGCAGACAACATTCACCCTTACCAAAAGCAGCCACTCGATTTTTCTCTTCAGTTTTATTTCATTAAAGTAAAAAGTTGGTTATCGCCTTAATCCCAGCCATGCCCTCTGACATCCTCTGTTCTTTCCTAACTGTCTTTCAACATACTAGCCGCAGACTCCAGCATTAACTTTACCTCCCGCTAATGGGCCAACACTGATTCAAGGCACAAGATTGTCTCTCCGTTATTTCTTCAGGAATTGTTTAAAGGATGGAACAACTCAGATAGCTAAGCAGACTAATTTCATAGCAGTTTTTAGATAAAAATTTAGGGTGAACATTCTCTAGATTTGTGGATTTTTTAAAAAATCAGTTTGAAGGTGCTCTGGACCGACTTGTGGTTTAGACTCTGTATTGACTGTGAAGGCAGAGGTTCTGTTTAGAGAGCCTGCTTGTCAGAACTAGTTCCTGGGACTCCGGAAGCTTCCCAGGGAATGGGCCACAGGAAGCCTCAGAGGGACGTGCAGGGTGGACGACAGCCAGGACCTCAGTTGTTCGGCCTCCCCGGTGCCGAGAAGTGAACTCTCAGAAAGAAGCTCTCTCCTGATGCATTCTGAGGGCAGGGGGAGGAGGAGAAATCCTAAAAGGGTCAGCCGTGGCATCCTGTGGGTTGATTATCCCAAAAGCCACCCAGGTTTGGCTTCCTTAGACAATCTTTCCCTGCCTGGGGGTCAAGGCCATCTCCACAATGTGATGGGTTTGAAGTGGGTTCAAACCTGGGTCTTCGGCCAACTCCAAGAGACCCTGCAGCTTAACCTCTTACCTCTCTGTTCCTCAATTTTAATATTGGCCAGAAGGGACCAGGAGCACTAAGGATGATGTTACCAGCACGCCGCAGAGTGCCCGGCGCACGGCACTGCCCGCAGTGCATGGACACAGGCGGTTACCCGACCCTCCCTGACCATTCATCTTAGCAGCCATTTTATAGGCTCCATGTGGGCTTTCATTCCCCAGTGTGCAGGCTCAACACATCACCTGACAGATAAAGACACAGGCCCAGAGAGGACTGAGTGAGGGACAGTCCTGTAGTTAATAATGAGGCAGGGCCGAAACTGGGCGCCCGCTCCAGCTCGTCTAACCTGGCGGGGTCTCCTGGGGATAATGAGGGGCCAGCAGCGCCACCTGCTGGCCGCACCGGGCATGGCACTACAAGTCATGGGTGGAGCAGGGGTGTCCCAGGGCTAAATTTGAACTACTTGGCTTTTCTCCCCTCTCAGCAGGGGGGGTAGGCCAAGGGGCCTCTCTTCCTTTCACTGTCCAAGATCAGATGGTTAGAAAGAGGTGCTTCACATGGCAAAGGGGGGCGGGGTGTCTGATGCCTTCCTTTGAGCCCGGGCTGCACAGCCTGGAGGAAAGGGCGAGCGCGGGGCCTTCCCTCTTGCCACAGCAACCCTGCCCCCTGCCCCACCTAGAAGACCTTGTCCCTGCAGCCCCCAACCCCTTCCTTTCTCCAGAGCAGGTGTCAGGTCCTTCTTCTCCGCATTCATTCCGATCACACGCAGATGTCCATCCTGTGATGTCTTGCCCCTGAAAAGCAAACCAGCCCTCGGTGGCTCCAGACCCTCCTGCCACGGCTGCTTCTCTGCCCCCCTTTACACAGAACTCTCCCTGATGTGTAACCCCGCCCTCTCCCCACTCTGCGTCTCCCCACTGTGCACCTCCTCCAGCTGTCTCTGGGTGCCCCCAGCACTGCACCCAAGGCCACTTCATCTCCTGCCACTCCCATCCTTGTACTCCGCCACCACTGACTTCGCAGGGCGGGTGGTCCGTCTTTTCATCCCCTGGGTGCCCTTCCAGGCTGCTGCATCGTCTGCTTGCAGACGGGGATGTGGGGCGACCCAGGCTGGGTCTTTGGACCTCTTCTCTGATATCTCCTTCTAGAAGTCGCCCAGCCCTGAGGCTTCCCCTGCTGTCCTGGCTTGCAGAGCCCCCAGTTCATAGCAGGGCTTAGGAAGCGGGTTTGGGGTCTGAAATCGGAATCTTCTTGTCATGGGAGAAGCATCTAGCTGGATGAGATCTTGGGTCTAGTTTTCCCTCTTTGTTCCGCTTTCACATTTCTAAGTCAAGGACTTTCTACGTCTGGTGCAGCTCAGGGCAGCTCATATTCTCCCCGGGACCTTGCTGGTGGGAGAGCATCTCTGGGGTGGCGCAGGACAGGGTGGAGGGCTGGGGGGTGCAGGGGCGGGGGGAGGGGGAGGTGGGGCGGGGGCACAGGTGAGAGATGGGGGTAGGGGCGCCAGGTCGGGTGTCGGGGCTCCGGAGTGGCGGCCCACCGTGCCCTGACGCCAGCCTCGCCGCCTCACCCCCGCAGCGGCCTTCACCATGATCGGCACCTCCACGCACCTGTCGGACCAGTGCTCGCAGTTCGCCATCCCATCCTTCTGCCACTTCGTGTTTCCGCTGTGCGACGCGCGCTCCCGGGCGCCCAAGCCGCGTGAGCTGTGCCGCGACGAGTGCGAGGTGCTGGAGAGCGACCTGTGCCGCCAGGAGTACACCATCGCGCGCTCCAACCCGCTCATCCTCATGCGCCTGCAGCTGCCCAAGTGCGAGGCGCTGCCCATGCCCGAGAGCCCGGCCGCCGCAAACTGCATGCGCATCGGCATCCCGGCCGAGAGGCTGGGCCGCTGTGAGTGACCCCCGCCCCGCGCCGGCATCTGGGCCCCTGAGTCGTGCTCCTTAGAGCCTGGGACCCCATTCTGTCCCAGGAAGCCCCACAGCCCAGGCCCCTGTTCCAGTCGGGCAGTCACGTGGGGCTTACGAACAAGGGTGTCCGAGCCCTCTGTCTCCAGGCGCGCACCCCAGCCCAGCCCCCACAGCCTATCTTAGGGACTCAAGTCATCCCTCTGCCTGTCAGGCCTCAGACCACTTCTCTAAGATGGGAGTGCCTGCAGCGCTGGCTTCCCAACCCGCCTTGCGGTCCACAGCTCGGCTCATCACTGACCAGGTCAGGGGTGCCGCCTCCCTGAGGGGGACACAGGAGGAGGCCACCTTCCTCGAGGCCATGGCCTGTATTCACTTCTTTGGCCAGACTGGGGCTTCCGGGATACGGCCAGGCTCCTGATCAGGGCAGTTGGAGCCTGGGCTATGGACCCACTGCACACGTCCGAATCCTGGCTGCTGGATTGGTGTGACCTTGGACCAGTTGCCTAAATCCCAGTTTCCTCGTATTACATGGGGATAGTAACTGCTAACCTCAGGAGTTGCAATGAAGATTATGAGTTACTATTTAGAAAGTTCTTAGAACAGTGCCCGCACCTGGTAAGCACCATAACCGTTGTTCAGCAAGTGCACACCCCCCAGGTCTGGCTCCGAGAATCTTCCGAGTCTCCTTGGTGGAGGTGGAACAATGCATGGGCTCTGCTCACATGAGGCTCTGCTCACACGAGGCTCTGCTCACACGAGGCTCTGCTCACATGAGGCTCTGATCACATGTGGTTCTGCTCACACGAGGCTCTGCCCACATGTGGCTGAGCCCAGCCTCCTCGCTGGGCACCGAAGGGGACATCTGAGGTTGCGGGCCAGGCCTTGGAGTTTGTCTTCCCTCCTTCAGCTCGATTTTCTTTCTGGTACAAGTGAGCAGGAGTAGGAGTTGACATCCTCATTCTGGAGTGGGGTGCCTGGCGGGCACCGAGGGGTGGTGTTAGGGTCAGGGAATAATTCCTGATGGGGTTTCATCCCCATATATGTCCCTGATGCACCCCCAGTTTAATTTGTGGGCTTGGGACTTAATATTAAGTCATTACTTTTAATACTGCTTTTCTTGGAAGTTACGTAAAATCCTCTGGTCGTTTGGAATTCCAGTCTGGGTACATGCAGGCAGAGTGGTTTCTCATTCCTTCCTGGGGTAGTTGAACAGGGCACTCTGCCCTGGAGGAGGGCTGCTTCCTCTTGGTTTGTGGGCCTCCTAAGGCATCTTCTCTCGCAGACCATCAGTGCTACAACGGCTCGGGCACAGATTACAGAGGAACGGCGAGCACCACCAAGTCGGGGCACCAGTGCCAGCCGTGGGCCCTGCAGCACCCCCACAGCCACCACCTGACCAGCGCAGACTTCCCCGAGCTCGGAGGGGGGCACGCCTACTGCCGGAACCCTGGGGGGCAGATGGAAGGCCCCTGGTGCTTCACGCAGAATAAAAACGTACGCATGGAACTGTGTGACGTACCCTCTTGTAGTATGTATTCTCTCTCTTTTTTTTAAAGTGTTGACTGTTGAGTGCACTTTGTGAAACGTGGGACCAGGAGGCGGTGGCTCTGGGTAGCCCCTCTCCCCAATTTCACCACCATGATCATTTGTTTTCCACAAAGCTGTTGCTGGTTGTCAAAGTAATATCTGGCCATTATAGGACGTTTTAAATTATAGAAAAGTCTGAAGAATAATGTGCAAATTCCCTTCATGTCACCACTCAGTGGGGACTACTTTTGCAATTGGGGGCCCTTCTGTCAGCCCTTTTCCTACGTGGGGTCGTGGCCTCTCATTTCTCCATTAACATTGTCATGTAGTATTTCCCAGTATTATCAAAAAGGCTCCCCACTATGGGCACAGCCAGCTCCTCCGCCCAGCATCTGTATTGGGCGCAGGACGCATCTCACTCCCCCTCCCCTCGCCTCCCGCTCAGCTCAGCTTTTGCACGTAGACTTGGCAGAGTGAGGAAAAAGTGGAACTTAAGTCTCTTAACCGTTTCCCTGCTCTTCCTCTGTTATATTATGAATAGGAGAAGAGTGTGTAGTTAATGGTTGTAAACTTTCCAAGCATGATCATCTCTGTGTCTCAGTCATTTTCGTCTCACCAGCTCCAGGAGGCCTGAGACTCCACTGCCTCCTGAGTCTTACATGTGGGCACCTGGAGGTAGAGGGTTGGTGGAAAATTACTGTGAGACGATTGATAAAGAGAGATTAACGGGTGAAGCAAATCAAGGCTCAGGCTTCACCTGGAAACCCCCGCCTCACGGCCCAGGGACCCCGCCTGCCGCTGATGGGAGCGAGAGCTGGAATTTGTTACCTTCTGGAAGTGTGGTTCGGCTATTCCCTTAACTCAGCAGTTCACACACAGATCTTCAAGAGTGTGTGTTCACTGCAGGAGTAAGTTTTAAGAAGGAAATGTCAGTAGTTAGATGATAGTGTAACTACTCTGGACCACTACGGTGGTTTAAAACAGGTTCCTGCAAGGACGGATGTCCATGACATCCTGTTGAGGGAGAGAAGCAAGGTGTAGGACCATAGCTGGCCTTCTCTCTCCTCCTTTCTCTGTAAAAGAGACAAAATGAGTGAAAAGTCTGTGTGTGTGTGTGTGTGTGTGTGTGCGAGCGTGCACACAGGCGGCTGTATTTCATGGATGAAGTTCTGGAAAGATACACACCAAACTCAGCAGCGATTTCCCAGGACCTACAGAAATGTTCAAATATAAGACGTTTTTACAACGAGCAGCTAGTACTTTTGTAAGTAAAAATGAATCAAAGCATAAAGAAAAATGTGTATGTTCTTTGACCTGGCATTTCCAGAAATCTTATGTTGCAGAAATATTTGCACTTATAGGGCAGAAATGCCGGGATATTTATTGCAGAATCACTTTTATTAGCTAATAAGAAACAGACTCATTGTTGACCAGTAGAGGCTGGGTGCTAAGTGTATCCCTGCCACGGAACAGGGCGCAGCTGCTGAAGAACCAGGGCCTTGAGCTGTCTGTCCTACGTGAAACATTGTCCGAGATACGTTATTCTGCCCCAAAACCAGGAGCAGGAAAATATGGACGAAATGATTCTATTTAAAATGAATTATACTTAAAATTCTATTTTAAAGAACCATATGAAACTGCTGCTTCTGTGTGTGAAAATAGTTGAATATCGGGTGTTCCATGTCCAACTTAAAGTATACATAAAAAATTAGGTGCACACCAACCTATTCACAGTGGTACAGCCTTTGGTGAAATGGGCTATTAGGAATATTCACGTTTCTATAATACTACAGTTATTAAGCATGGGTTCCGTTGGTGATTTAAAAACGATTGTGATAAAATAAATGATCGTACAAATGTTTGGACTGTGCTCACATCTCTGATCTTGGCCTGAGGGGTGTGGGGTCCCCCCAGCCCTAATAATGAGAAATGACCCAGTCTCCACGCCCTGAGGCCTGGGAGCATCTCCCTCCAGGATGGCTCTGTGTGGGGTTTAATTTGATTTTATCTTATTTTGGAGGCCAGGGCTGGGGGGGGAATTGGGGGCGCGACACTGGGTTTGGGACAATACTTTTTTACCAAGGTGGCGATAGTGTTTCATTTTTAGAACTGAATTAGCTCTTTCAGAAACCATCTTGACCAGAAGTCGTTTGTTTGCTTCAGATGGAGAGCTCATTACCCGATAGTCCCAGGGATGCCCAAGTCCCATGTATTCACAAGGTTAAGGAGAGAACTGCGGGGTGTTAGAGGGGGCCTCCTCCTCCTCCTCCTCGCAGTGCTCCACCCCAGCTCCCCCTCAGCGGCCAGCACCCCCTGCCTGGTGCCGGCTGGCGTCAGCCTTGCAGCCGCCGTGCCCGTGCACTCTGTGCCTCCTGCAGAGGGAGCCAGAGCACTACTGTTCCCTGTGGAAGAGGAGGACGTGCCTGGAGGCCGCACCCCCTACGTCTTACCCTCATTTGTCAAGAATGTTGCTGCCTCGTGCATTGGGTCAAACTCATCGGCCGCTGGTGCTCTTTTAAATCAAATGCGTGTTTAATTAGTGTCTTGAAAGAATATGTATTCATTATGCAAAAATGTGGGAAATCCTACAATGTTGAATGAAGAGAAGGATCAATTCTAATCCCACTGCCGAGTTTCCTCTGCCGAGGACAAGGGCGTCAGGTGCTTCATCAAGTTTCCTGAAGACGACGTCGGACAGAGCACCATGGTGTCCTGGCGTCAGCAAGGGGACTGTTACTGATTGCCACTGTGAGGCCTCCCGAGTTCATTTGCTTCTTGTGCTGTGTGTTCCGATTTGTCCCCGTGGTGGGCAGTTCTGCAGTGTGTCACAAATACACAGCAGGATGCGCATTTTTCAGTACCTCACCTTTTTTTTTTAGGTTTGGTGGGCCATACTGCCCATTTGTGCCATTTACCTGATTATTTGCTTGTACTTAACTGTTTTAGTTGGGGGCGGGGGCTGGTAGAGAACTTGGAGTTGAAGAAAGGGTGTTTTCAGGAAACTCATGAAAGCCTTGCTGTTCACAGGCCCCCAGGACGGCAGCAGGATGGGGATCCTGTACATCCTGGTCCCCAGCATTGCCATCCCCCTGGTCATCGCGTGCCTCTTCTTCTTGGTCTGCATGTGCCGGAACAAGCAGAAGGCGTCTGCCTCCACGCCACAGCGACGCCAGCTCATGGCTTCCCCCAGCCAGGATGTGGAGATGCCGCTCATCGGCCAGCACAAGCAGGTCTCCGTGCTTCGTATTTAAGGGGTGGCTCCCCCGGGCTTAACCTCTCCCTGGGGTTAGTTGCCTGCAACATCAGCGTTCTTAATTTACTTGATACACAGCACGTAATGCTTTTAAACCGTCCTTTGTCATGCCGTTTCTTCTCTGAAACATAGCAGGACATTTGTGTACACAAAGTAAATGGTAGGTGTGTTCAGAGCTCACCGGCCCACAGTCCATGGGCTTCTCCCTCTACCGAGACCAGCCCCATTAGCGTGGGCCCCAGAGGGTGTCCTGACTCTGTGACGATGCAGCTGTCCCCACGGGAGGACACAGGACAAGGGCTCAAGTTGTCCCCGCTCGAGGGTCACTGTGGCATTTCTAAGGGACAGGCGCTTGTTTTCTGGTCAGTTTGGGGTGGGGTTGGTTTTGCTTGTTTCATTTTCAGGGAAGGATAGAGCAACAGTCTCGTAGTGGAAGTGAGAGGCCAGGCCAGCCCCACGTGCTAGGAGCTCTCAGGACAGTGAGAACACACTGGAATGCAGCCCAGCTGAAGTCAAGGGCGATTATATACATCACAGTCTTTGGGGGGAAAATCATTCCCGTCCGGGCTTTGAACGGGCAGAGTGGACTCACTCAGTGCTGTCGTCAGGAGTCCCTGAGTGTTTGCTGGGGGCGGAGTTTCCTGGATGGCGGAGAGACCCCGGGGGCCTCTCAGAAGGACGGGGGCCGGGCGCACAGAAGGGGCAGGAAGTCCTAGAGGCTGAGAGGTGTGGATCCTGGGAATCCACCTCACCCCCGTGTGCTCCTGTCACTATGCTTCTAATCCAGAATCTGATCAAGAGGAAACGAGACAGGCCCACTGAGGAGCATCTGTAGAGCAGCTGGCCTGGACTCTCAAAATGACAAAAGTCGTGGGAAGTGTCCCCTCGGGGTTTGTGAGAGAAAGACGTTGGGTCTCGCTGTGATGAGCAGCAGTGGCTGGACCTCCCGTGTCAGGGAGCAGCAGGAAAGGCTTTGGTGGGGGGACACAGCTGGGAGAGCACAGGGGTGACTCTGGGGCAGCTGGCAGCTGGGGAGGGGGTGTGTGTGAATAGGTGCGTGCACACACATACACACACTCTGCAGTGGTATCCCACATATTGCCATATTTGGGGGGGGATGTAATTTGCAGCCTGGTTGGGGCCCATTGAAGGTTTCAGGCAGCCTCATGGCATCGAGCAGAGAGCAGTGTGTGGGGCAGGCTTAGCTTGGGGCCGGCAGGACCAGCGGGTCCTCTGCAAGGCCGTGCTGGCAGGTGGCACAGGCCTGACCCCAGAGCCCCCTCCCAGCCGCCCTGCTCTTCCTCCTCCTGTCGCAGTGACAGAAACGTTTCATTGGGGCTTTTCCTCTCAGCAGGCCAAGCTCAAGGAGATCAGCTTGTCCACCGTGAGGTTCATGGAGGAGCTCGGGGAGGACCGGTTCGGGAAAGTCTACAAAGGCCATCTGTTCGGCCCAACGCCGGGCGAGCAGACCCAGGCTGTGGCCATCAAAACGCTCAAGGACAAGGCGGAGGGGCCGCTCCGGGAGGAGTTCCGGCATGAGGCCATGCTGCGGGCGCGGCTGCAGCACCCCAACATCGTGTGCCTGCTGGGCGTGGTGACCAAGGACCAGCCCCTCAGCATGATCTTCAGCTACTGCTCGCATGGCGACCTCCACGAGTTCCTGGTCATGCGCTCGCCGCACTCGGACGTGGGCAGCACAGATGACGACCGCACGGTGAAGTCGGCCCTGGAGCCGCCTGACTTCGTGCACGTCGTGGCACAGATTGCTTCGGGCATGGAGTACCTGTCCAGCCACCACGTGGTGCACAAGGACCTGGCCACCCGCAACGTCCTTGTGTACGACAAGCTGAATGTGAAGATCTCGGACCTGGGGCTGTTCCGCGAGGTGTACTCGGCTGACTACTACAAGCTGATGGGCAGCGCGCTGCTGCCCATCCGCTGGATGTCCCCCGAGGCCATCATGTACGGCAAGTTTTCCGTGGACTCGGACATCTGGTCCTACGGCGTGGTCCTCTGGGAGGTCTTCAGCTACGGCCTGCAGCCCTACTGTGGGCACTCCAACCAGGACGTGGTGGAGATGGTGCGTAGCCGCCAGGTGCTGCCCTGCCCGGACGACTGCCCCGCCTGGGTGTACGCCCTGATGATCGAGTGCTGGAACGAGTTCCCCAGCCGACGGCCCCGCTTCAAGGACATCCACAGTAGGCTCCGGGCCTGGGGCAACCTGTCCACCTACAACAGCTCGGCGCAGACCTCGGGGGCCAGCAATGCCACGCAGACCAGCTCCCTGAGCACCAGCCCTGTCAGCAACGTCAGCAACGCCCGCTACGGGGGGCCCAAGCAGAAGGCCCAGCCCTTCCCGCAGCCCCAGTTCATCCCCATGAAGGGCCAGATCAGACCCATGGTGCCCCCTCCCCAGCTCTACATCCCCGTCAACGGGTACCAGCCGGTGCCAGCCTACGGGGCCTACCTGCCCAACTTTTACCCGGTCCAGATCCCGATGCAGATGGCCCCACAGCAGGTGCCTGCTCAGATGGTCCCCAAGCCTGGCTCCCACCACAGCGGCAGCGGCTCCACCAGCACGGGGTATGTCACCACTGCGCCCTCCAACACGTCCGTGGCGGACAGAGCAGCCCTGCTCTCGGAGGGCACTGAGGACACGCAAAACGCCCCAGAAGATGTGGCCCAGAGCCCCGTGCAGGAAGCTGAGGAAGAGGAAGATGGCTCTGTCCCAGAGACTGAGCTGCTGGGAGACAATGACACTCTGCAGATGGACGAGGCCGAGGTCCAGCTGGAAGCATGAGGGGCGCGGGGCTGCCGGGCGCTCGGGGCGGACTTGGGCTGCCTTGACAAGTGAGCCCCCGGCTCTGGTGGGCTGGCTGCAGCCTCCTGGTGTGAAATCCTGCGCCTCTGCCCTCCTCTCACGCACAGAGCTGCCGCCATGGCCAGCTGTTTGGTTGGAGGTCTTTTAGCCAGTGGTACCTTACCAGGCCGGGGTGGTGGCCCAGCAGGATGCACGGTGACCCCCGACGCTGCCTGCATTTCCCCGAAGGCAGACCCATAGTGAGCGTTGCCTGCACTTTGAAGGAAAATGAGTGGCATCCTCCCACCGTATTGCATGTGGATTGAATATTGGGAAACTTTGCGAAAACAGGCCTGCCAGAGGCAGCGGGGTGGGAGCGTGGACTCTGCCGTTCCCAGCGACTGGCCCGTTGGTTGAGTATGGAGGAGGCCGCTTTCTCCCTGCTGTCCCCCTGCCAGTAGCAGCGCCCCTTCACCACCAAAGACTGGCGGGAGCAGGCCGAAGCCACCTGCCACGTGCCATGGTCCCATGAGAAAGGGGCTTCTGAAATGGGAGTCCCCGTATGGAAACAGAATGTGCCTTAAGAGAAACCGACTAGATTTTGTATTTTTGTGAAATGATTTTAATTATCCTGCATGTGTATTCTGCCCACTTCTCTGGAATTCAAGGGAAAGCGTTTCTGGGGTTTGGAATGTTACAGAGGAGGCAATATTGTACAGAGCACAGTATTGTTATTTTTTTTTTTAGAACCATGTACAGACCCTAAATGTAATTTATATGGTTTTTCTATGCCATTTTCAGTGAAGTATTTTGAGCTTAAAATAATGACTTAGTAATTTAACTGTTTACGTTCCCCACTTTGGGATGCCACCCAACTGTATTCTGTTTGCTAGCCTTTGTACCACGTGTGAACGAGGTCCGTCCCTTCAGAGCCCCTGCGAGAGAAGGCTCGGGGGCACCTGCGTCTGGTGCCCGGGATGGAGCGCTTGTGTAGCCCCCACACCTGGTGTATCCAATAAAGCGACACAGAACGTTTGCTCGGCTCTCTGCAGGTTGTGAGCAGGTCAGGCAGCGGGAGGTGCAGCGTGACAGAGACGCCGAGCAGTGATGGCTTGGCTGAGCCCTTGCAGTGGGCTGGGGGGCCGGTCCAGGGCCAGTGACTCCGTTTGAGTGTGGCTGTACGTTGGCAGGTAAATGATGGGAACAAGTTGCATTGCTTTTCTCTGGTGAGGCCTCTGGATGAATCGATGGCAGACGATGTAAAGTTGGCCTTTGGTTTTAAACCTCTCCCCTCCTGAGGTCCCAGGGCCCCTGACCTTTTAGACCTGGAGGCTGGCACTTTCCAGGGCACTGTAGCAGGGCTGGGGGTGAGGCCATGATGGGGAATCGGCCTTCTTCACTCCCTGCGCGGCCACCTGTGCCTCTGCTTCTCGGCCGTTCGCCCCCTGAGCTAGAGTACACCTGGGCCAGGGTCACCCGGGGGTCAGTGCTCCAGAGCTTCCAGTCGGGGGACGGGCACCGTAACACCGCCACAGCCTGGCTGAGGCCTGGAGAGCTTCTGCCCCCCAGCAAACAGCCCTCGGGGCCTGGCCTCCCTCCCCGGTCCTGACCTTCCCCCCTGCCGCCCCGCATGGCCTGGGAGGTTTCGTGTTTTTTGGAGTGGATCCACAGCCCTGGGGCCCCGGGAGGCGCAGCTAGGAGTTGGCTTCCCGGATGTGGGCAGTGGTTCTTCAGCCTGCCTCAGAGTGTCTTGCAGGGCTCGTCACAAGAGGAGCAGGTCTGGGTGGGGCCCAGACTGAGGACTTCTAACAAGCACCCAGAGGGTGCTGATGCTGCGCTCAGGGTCCTCAGAGAGCCACTGAGGCACTGAATTGAGGAATGCTGATTGTCCAGCCCCTCAGGTCATCCTGAACTTCAGGTCTGTCCTGTGCCCCCCTCACCCCGCTGCTGCAGCATAATGCGGCTCGCGATAGAGCCACACACACAAATAAAGCATCAAGATGTCTGAGTGTAGATCTGAAATCAGAGGGGATGCTTCCCTGGTTGGCGAAAGGAAGGAATGTGACCGGGGCGAGGACTGGGAGCCCCCCGGAGCCCCTCTCCCCGGCGAGTGTGGTCCAGATTGCATATTAAAAGAAGAGGGGGTAAAATGGAGCCACTTCTCAGTTCCACTGATCTGAAAGAGGAACTTGATCTGTCTAATTTGGTCCACCTGATGGTTTAACTGTTGAGCTGAGACCTGAGAGTCAAAAATGGGAAATAGCGCTCTGGCTGCACGGTCAGGGAGGCGAGCCGCCACTTCAGTTTACGGTCCCTCGGCCCCCAGACATGACCCGGAGGCTCCAGGCCACTGACAGCCCACAGGGCCGGGCGGGCAGCCCAGGTTCTGCAGAAAGGCGGCTGGAGGGTTTTTTGGCAGAGCAGGGGAGGTTTTGATTTGGGGGATTTCTTTTTTTTCTTTTTTTTGCTAAATATAGCATTTGTTTGTTACGGCTCATTCTAACTGTAAATTCTTGATGCATCTTTAGGAAGATGATTGAGCTTTTAAAGTTCACGCACTTGAACGAAAGTGACTCTATTGGGATGCTCCAGAATAATTGTTTTTAGAGCTAAGTTGCGTGATTCAGATAATGTCACTCATCGCATCCACCCAGCAGCCTGCCTCCCACAAGAGGGAGATTTTTGCAGCTCCTGAGTTTTATTCGAGCCAATGAAGCCACAGATGCCTTGTACGCTCTTATATTCTTTGATAAACCATCCTTGTTGAAACAACCCATCGGGGCAACAGCTATCTTTTCTGCACTAATTTTAGGGTGTTTGACTAAAGGCTACAGTGTACAACAGCTTCCCACTAAATCAAGAGAATCCTCTTCTCCCCACAGCGGGACACGCTGTTTCCCTGTGCTCACCGGGGTTTACTTCCAGCTCTCCATTCACTATTGATAGTTATTTTCAGACAGTTTGTGATTTTACAACTATGTCTGAGACGAATCTTACCCAGACGTCGGTTCTGTGTGAGTTTCCTACAGGAATATTTAAGAAGGAGGTTGTCAGAGTAAACTGACTTCAGAGCACTATCCCGAAACCCGGTCACAGCGAGCCCCTGTGACCTCCCCAAGGTCGGTCCCGCTCCCGCCCCGTCCACTCTTCTCCCCTCATCGGTCCCCATGGAGACTGTACGTATTTCTTGGCCTGATGCTGAGTGAGTGCCCAGTAATGGGCTCTGGAAATAACAGCAATGCTGTACTGAGGTGGAGAAGGCCTGGATTTAGGTCACCTGACACCTACACAGAAGGACATGAGCCTGTCAAGTGTTCACACTTAAGACAATAGAGCTTATACGATACTGTTTCTTTTTCAATTTCATTTCATTTCATTTATTCAGTTACTGAATAGCTCATGCATTCCTATAGTTAAAGACGCAGTGGGAAATCTCTCTCCATCCCCATCTGCCCAGCCTCCTTGCCCCACTCCACGTATTGAACGTCACAGGCTTCTTGTGGATCTTTCCACATTTTTTATGCCTGTATAAGTAACATACCTATATGTTATGTTTCTCCCTTTTTTAAAAAAAAACACAAGTGGTAGCTTCTCTACAAATTGTTTTCTGCCTTGCTTTGGTCATGTAACAGTGTACGTTGGAGCTCTTTGCCTGTCAGTAGGTGGGAGCGTGTCTGCGGAGGAATTCTTTGGTGGCCTTGCTGGTCAGTGAGGGCAGGAGTTGTCAGGGGGCGGTATCGCCTCTCCAGGGGGACGTGCAGTGTGCACTGCCCCAGCGCTGTCTCAACGGGCCGGTCCCTGGTCCCAGACCCTAGTCCTGGAGTGCCGTTCTCCTGCAGGTGCAGGTGGGGAGAAGGCTGTGCGTGGGGCGGACCTGGGCACACTTGCCTCAGCTCTAATGCGTGTTTTTAAAAAGACAGGGCAAGGTAACATTTTTAACTCATTAGTATTGTTTTTTCACTAATTTGTCCCAATCACTCTCTTTCCCAGTCTGAAGTGCTGAGATTTTAGTGGAAATGTTGCCCAGACGCAGAGAGGTAGATTCGAACCCCCCCATGGGTGTTGGAAGGCCTTGCAGGCTGTGCAGGTACCCAGGGGCGGGATAGAACCAAATGACCGCTTCCTGGAACTGCAGAAGTCAACTGCATCACCCCCCAGGATGGCAACTACAGCCCCTGCCCCCCGGGACAGCTACGTCTTCTCGCCATGGAAATACAGCAGCCACCCCCCAGGATGTCAACCCCCTCACCCCCCTCCCCCCAGGTCACTACTGCGTCCACCCAGGAGCAGAGTTCAGAGGACCTGTGGGACCTGCTTTAATGGTGTTTCTCAGGTCTAGATGGACAGGGGGAAGGGAGCGGGTGTCCAGGAGGTTAGGAGAGAATCTGGGGGAGGGGGAGGCAGCCTGGCCCTCCCCATGCTCTGCCGCCCCCATTCCTGTCGCTCCATGTTGATCAGGTTTTTTAACAATCATCTTATCATTACCATTTGTATTACATTTTATATTTTGATGTCTCATCCCCGTGGGTCTTTACTGAAAGCTGCACTGAAGCCACCCCTTTGGGGGAAAGCCAGTCTAAAGTAACAAGAATGTGGAACCATAAATTTGGTAAGGGAATTCACCATGACTTTGAGATACACAGAATAATCCAAATTAGACTGCAGGGGCCACGGGAAAGCCTGAAGAGACTAACGTGCCAGTTGCCTGAAAGATAGGTTTCGTGTTTAGGAGGTATCCTCCTGCTGTCTTGATTTCCATTCTCAAGTTGCTGGACAGCTTTTCCCATCACCACGCACGGGCAGACTTCAGCCACGGCACTCAGACACTCGTTGGGAACGCGGGCATCCCCCTGCAGAGAGACAGCCTGAGGCAGGGCCGTGGGCCTTCCATGTCTGGCCACCGTCTTGCCTCCAGTCTCTTCCGCGCTGCCCGCTTACACTTCTAACCTGGAGGCCCGGCATTTCGTGACAAGGAGTTCGAGTTCGTGCTGGGTCTCCCGGGAAGGCACTGCCCTTTCCCTCAGGTGGAAATCGTGGAGCTCACCTAGTCCCGCTGGGAATCTCAGAGAAGACTGAGCCACCACTTTTTTTTTAACAGCTTAATTTTGCTGTAATTTACTTCTGTACAAGTCACCCATTCTAAGTGTGCGGTTCAGTGATTTTTAGTAAATTTGCAGAGTGTGCAACCTTCATCCCAATCTAATTTTAGAACATTTCCTTCCCACAAGGATCCCTCATGCTTGTCAGCCCTGGGGTGGTCTGCTGTGTTTTCTGTCTGAATGGATTTGCCTTTTCTGGACATTTCATATAAATGGAATTATACCATATGTAGCATTTTGCTTCTGGCTTCTTCCACTTAGCGGAATGTTTTTGAGATGCATCCATGCTGTGGCACGTATCAGAAGTTCATGTTATTGCTGGCTAGTATTCCACTGTGTGGATGGACCACATTTTGTTTACCCACGCATCCATCCGTTCACCCATCGATGGACTTTTTCCACTTTGGGGCTATTGTGAATAATGCTGCCGTGAACATTGGCCTATGTTCGTGTGTGGACGTGTGTTTTCATTTCTCTTGGGCGGCTTCCTAGGAGTGGAATTGCTAGGTCATATGGAAAAATCATCGACCTTTTTAAGAAACGTCCAAACTACTGTCCAAAGTGGTTCCACCATTTTAACTGCCCACCAGCAATGAATGAAGGCTCGTTCCTCCGCGTCTTCACCAGCTCTTGTTATCATCTGTTTTATTTTCGTTAGAGCCATCCACTTTTAAGAATATCAAAAGAAAACATTGCTTAGATGAAAGGATTGAGGTTGCAGGACGAGTTCTATGAATTGTCTTATTAACTCTCACCAAATGCCCTTCATTTGTTTGTTCATACAGTCATTCAACAAGTATTTCTTGAACATGTGCTGTTGGCTGGATTCAGTGGCGAACAAGATAGGAAACAGCATCCCTCCTTTCTCAGGAGGAAGGTTTTTAAGCAAGTATTGTGATAACAGGATTGTACCGTCTCCCTGGGGAAGCAGTGTTTG